TTGTTTATGTTGTGAAATATTTGTTTAATGATGCAAAGAAGGATTGCATTCTTTTATATTGCATTTGTTTAACTCTGTGAAGCTGTGTTGGTTTGCCTGTCTAAAACACCTGATTGGTCTAGTAAAGAGCTGAACAGCCAATAGCAAGGCTGGAGTGCCGTCGGCCATGTCAGAGGAGCAGTGAGTGGCAATTGAAGTTCAGGTGTCAGCCCACCAGAAGGGAATCCCCTGATGGGCCAATCTCATTTAGGCAAGGCCACGACTACAGGCCTCAGAATGTTTTTTTGCTTCTGCTGTGCCTTTACATGTTTGCTACGACTCTCTTTCTCTGGTATCTAGCATGGCGTGAGTGGACGAGGGGAGAGCTCCACTACCTGTAGGGTAGTGTGTTTATCTCTTGGAAACATCCCGTTCTACTGGGCATTTTTACCATGGATTGTCAAGATGGCCCCTCCCTAAGCTGTACTGTCTAATTTGATAATAATAATGACAGCTTATGCAGAATTTTGATGAATAAAAATAAATACCAGGATAAATTTCACAGCCAGGGCCTGTGAGTCTCCGCCAAGGAGCTTCATGGATTGTAGCTCAAGTTAATGACTAGCAATTGAGTCCCAATAGCCCAGCTAGTTTAAATTCTTTTAACCTTAATATTCCCAGGTCTCAGAGTTCGTCAAAGCTGAAACAAAATTTTGAAAATAACGAAGTTAGACTAAGATGTTTTTTTTAAATAACTTTGAGGTGAAAAACCCAAGAAGACAATCTAAAGTTGTAGAAAGGCACAGAGTTAGACGTGGGACTCTTTAGGGTCAGGGAACAAGAACAAAGCAGCCCAGTCATTACTGGCTGATGGACTCTCCTTGCTAGGTTTGGTTGATGACCAAAGATGATTAGTTCCTTATGCCCATTTATGCCCTCAATCTCCTGATGTAAAAAAACTATTAATGAATGGATATGTACCCTAAAGATTTAATGTAGAGCCTTTTCATGTATAAAAGTTTAGGTTTATCATTTAAGATTCCTTATAAGATTATCTCTCAAGATACATAATGAAGTAATTGGCCCTTTCTTTGTAACTGCAAAATGTACCCTGCCAGTAAAAGACCCGACAAGAACACCTTGTTTGCTCGCATGGTTAATCTATAACAAGTTGCTTGGGTATGAATGTGTGTGGGTTCCTGGGATAATTTGTTTTACACCTGCAATACATAAAATGTTTAATCATGTGAGGGAGATAAAAAACATGTTTTTACCTATAATCATTCGCTTAAAACATGGAATGCAACTGTTCTGACTCTTGCATTGCCTGGAGAGAGAGAGGAAATAAAGAGAAGAATAAGGAAAGAAACCATCAAGAGAGTTTGTGAGTGTCTTTCCCCTCACCTCCCTCAGATAGAAAAGATCAGCTTCCCCGACTCCGTGGATTCCTGTCAAAGCCCTGGCGCTGCTGGAGGCTGCCCCCAGACAGCGGTGCTGGGGAAAGGACAGGCAGGGCTCTTGTGGGCAGAGAGAATCAACAGAAGAAGAAAGAGAGAGAAAAGGGGGTCAAGGAACGAGAAAAAGAGGAGAGGAGCCAGGGGCCAGCCACCTAGCTACATAGCCAAACATAAAATAAGAAGGAAAGAAAAGATATACAGAAACAGAAAGGTACAAGCCCAGAGGTGAAGGAGAGATGGGGTAAGTTAGGAAAGCTGGCTAGAAGCAAGGCAGCTAAGGCCAGGCATTTATAAGTAAGAATAACCCTCTGTATGGGATTGATTTATTTGGGAGCTGGGTGGCGGGTCCCCGAAAAGAGTAAAGAGTAAAAAGCAACCAACTACAAATGGTGCCTGGGGAGACAGCTCCTTGGGTAAAGGTGCTCACTAAGAGACTGATGACCCACACGGTTGTCCTCTGACCCCGACACGCACACCACGACGTGCACACAAAATATACAGATGTGCTAAAGATGTAAACAGATGGCAATGGCTTTAAGAGTGTGGCTAGACACACTGGGCTATGAAGGTTCCTGCAGAGGAGCAGGGCTCGATAGATGACCACGGCCTGGGCACCTCACATGGAAACACACATCTGTGTTCTGAGCCTTGCCCTCCCCACCCTGCAAGACCAAGGCTCTTGGATGACAGAGACATTGGGAACCTGTTTTCAGTAATCAACAGCCACCCAGGAAGCTACCCTACTCCTAGAATTCACATGTAACTCATATTGTTAATATTTTTATACCAATTAAAGAGATTTACACTGTTTTTAACCATCTTTCCACAAGGAAAACATACAGGATAATTTACTAAACTTTAAAAAAAGATTTACTTATTTATTATATATACAGTGCCCTGCCCACACGCATGCCTGCAGGCCAGAAGAGGACACTCACCAGATGTCATTACAGATGGTTGTGAGCCACCATGTGGTTGCTGGGAATTGAACTCGGGACCTCTGGAAGAACAGCCAGTGCGCTCAACCTCTGAGCCATCTCTCCAGCCATAACTCATATTGCTACAAGCAAGTAAGTACCCGGATAGTTTGCTTTTAGTAAATTTTACTTTTGTAATGGTGGTAAGAGACACATAATACATTTGCCATCTTAAACTCCTTTTTAAAAAGTATTGGTGATCAAGACTAGGGTTACACATGCTAGGCAGGGGCTCTCCCACTGAGCCACACCCCAGCCCCTCACTGGAGGATTCTAGGCAGGGGCTTTACCATTGAGCCACACCCCAGCCCCTCACTGGGGGATTCTAGGCAGGTGCTTGACCCCTGAGCCACACCCCCAGCCCCTCACTGGGGGATTCTAGGCAAGCACTCTACCATTGAACTGTAGCCCCATAGCTCCATTAACCATTTAAAAACCACAAAACAGGCTGTGTAGATGAATTCATACTGTCACACAGCCACCGTCCCTGTCCATTTATAGACCTCTTGATTTTCCCAAACTGAAACGCTGCCTCCGGTAAAGAGGTTTTTTTTCTTCCTCCCAGCCACTGCTCGGCTTTCAGTCCGTACGATTTCGACTACTCCAGGTTCCCCATTTGAGCGGAGTCATATACAGTCTGTCCTTTCGTGATTGATTTGTTTTACTTACATAATGCTCTCAATGTTCATCCGTGAGGCACCTTAGGTCAGAACGTCCATCTCTCTAAAGTCCCATCACACAGTTATGTGCGCCACATCCCATCTGCTCATTCGTCTGCCAACGGATACTTGGGTTGTGTCCATGTTTTAGCTACTGTTAATAACTCAGTTATCAGTAATGGTGTACAGGTCTCTACTCAAGCCCCTCATTTAAACGCTTTTCAGTATGTACCCAGAAATGGAATTCCTGGGTTCCATGGTCGTTTCATTAAGTCTTTTGAGGCTCCACACCATACTGTTTGCTCTCAGGGGTGGTGCAGGACCTGACCTCAAATGTACAGAGAGATTCCTTCTGCCTCTTCCCGGGTCACGGGATTGAAGAACGTGCAGAGCTGGCATGTGCCACCACGGATTTTGCCTGCACGTGTCTGTGTGCCACGCATGTACCTGGTGCCCAAGGAAGCCGGAAAAGGGTCTCAGATCCCCTGTGACTGAGTTGTGAACCAATGTGGGTGCTGGGAACCCAACCGCAGTCATCTGGAAGTTCAACAAGAGCTCTTAACCACGGAGTTGTCTCTCCAACATTGCTTCATTATCCGATTTTTAAACCCTTTAACACTCCCTGAAGAAGTCTGTTTTGGAATAATTACAAAAGAACGGCAAGAACAAGAAAACACAGAAAAACTCAAGCGTCTCCCCAAACGAATGCTTTCAGTTTCTGCACAGTGGAAGTGAATTTCAGCCCTCGTAACGAATGGGTGATGAACGCCCCTGAGAGCATGCACTCACACTCAGGAGCATGGGTGTGGAAGCCGAGGCTCACCTGGGCTGGGGCAGCCTCCTCGCCAAGGAGTCTTTGGGCACCTCCGTTTAGTATCAGTTATAAAGGAGAGCAGACCTTGATTGAGCCCAACTCCTCGTTTCTTCTCTCAAGCCCATTCTGGCTTTTGCCTCCTCTGAATTCAACCCCTTGGTTTACAGGTCGTCTCCAAAGGGCAGGTCCACGCTTGGAAAGCATGCGTCACCGCGGTTCCCTAGAAGATGAGGGGGTTACCGAGCGGGTCAGGGACAAAGATGTTTCTCCAGGGACCTCTCAGAATTCTCCCTAATGTCCCTTTATAGGCCTCACTTTTCAAAAGTAAGTCACTTTAGGGTCAGGATGAGGTAAATGACGAGGGTAGACCACCCAGGAATGAAGTCAGGCCGCAGCCTTGTCCCTCCGCGCCTCCACGCATTGTCCTGGTCCCTCAGCCGCCCTTTCAGTGCCACCCGCACCTCTCTTGACCCTCTATCTCCTTCTCTCCCCAGCACAGTAGCCAGGGGTCCTGGCTTCCGGAGAGAGACCAGATTTTGGGATCAACAGGCCAGTCGAGCGCTGCCCAAGGACCCCAGGCGCAGTGCCAGCCCTAATTTCAGGGTCCAGGGTCGGGAGCTAGCGGGGCCCCGCCAGAGCCGCGTGCGTGGAGCTGTCCAGCACCCCGAGGCGGGGCGTGTGCCCCCCGGCCCGCCCCAGCCGCCTCCGCCCGCCCTGTCAGCGCCACTGCGGCTCGGCGGGCGCGTCACGTGGCTGGCGCGGCGCGGCCTCCCGGCTCCAGGCTCAAGCGAGGGGCCGGACGGGAGGACAGACGGGCACCCACCGACGCACCCTCGGTGGCACCGTGCGGGCGGCGCAGCGAGGGTCGACCCGGGGACCCGACGGGCAGGGCGCGCCGGGGCATGGGCGTGCCGGGGGTGTCGGTGCACAGTCCGGGCTGGGCGAGCCGGCCGGGGCTTGGGGACAGCGGCGGCCGAGGGTCCTCCCTGGCGACCGCCGCTGAGCCCCCGCGGGGCCCGTGACGCCGCGGCCGATGTGGCCCCGAGCGTTGCGGGCCTGCACCGCCGCCGCACAAAGACGCCGCCGCAGCCGCCGCCCGCAGCCGGGTCGCAGCCGCCGAGCCAGCCCTAGCCCCAGGCGGAGCCCGGGCCGCCGGGCAGCGGGAGCCCGCGCGCGGCTCGCCCCGGCATGGAGAAGCGCGCGGCCGCGGGGCCGGAGGGGGCGCCGGGCGCCAGGGCGCCGCTCGCAGTCGTCTGCCTGGGTGAGTGGGCCGCGCGGGGCCGGCCGGGGGAGGGCTTGGAGCCCGCACCGCGATGGTTCCCGTGCCCAGGCTGCGGAGCACCCTTGGGCTACCGAGGAGGGGGACTCCCACAAAGCGGCACTCCAGGCCCGGAGCTGGGGGTGGGGTGGGGAAGCAAGAACGCCGGCCTTGGGTTCCTGGGGGAGGCTGGGGTTTGCCTGTCGCCTTCAGGCCGCCTGAGCTGCGGCCTCCAAAGCTGCGGACAAAGGCCTGGACTGCTGCTCCCTGAAGAAACCGGTTCCTGCCTGGAGTCAGGGCAGGCCTGGGAGCTAGCCAAAGATGGGGACTCAGCTTGGGGGTTGAGGGTTTGGGGGCGGCAGATGTGAGAACTCGTTTTCCCATTGTGTCTTCCTGAACCCAGATGGCCATGGGCCGGTTCAGCCCTGATGGGGGTGGGAATCTGTTCTGGGGAGGGCTAAGAACCTGCCCGGACTGGTTAGAAGGCTCCTTCCCTGACCAGGAAAATTTTCTGTCCACTTTCCTGGGGCTCACTGCAGGGGAGGGAAGGAAAGAGTTAAATCCTCTACCCACATGGCTCTTTATTTACCTTGATGAAGGAGGGAGGCCCTGAAGAACTGGGGTCATTAGGGGACACCTGGTGATGTCACCATTGAGGTCCCAGGAACCTGACAGCCTCCCTGAAACCACTGAAATGATAAGCTGGGGGGTGGAGGAGGAAAGCTTGCTCGTTTTAAGTTGTAACTCTCTTCTAGTCCCCAAGAACAGAGAAGGGTGAGTGTTGGGGGGGAGGGGCTACGGCATACATAGGCCCTGAGAGGTAATCCAAGAAGTGGCATATGCCCAGCGTGCCTGGTTCCCGTGCTGTGGGTGTTCATGGCATCTGGGTTCCGGCTGTGTGTTTCCCAGGTGGGCAGGGTAGAGGTAAGGTCCTCCTGGCTCAGGGGGTGTCCATGTCTGGGCCTAGAAGATCCTGAATTCCCTGGGGTGGAGAATGGGGTGACTGCTCCAGAGATGAATGTCTCAATCAGGGAGGGGTCCCCTAATTCCCAGGAAGTTAGAGGGGCTTCTCACTTGGCCTAGACTCTCAGTCTCGGTCTGGAGCCCTTGAAGCAAAACAGTAGCTGGAAGCCAAGGATACCCTGTGGAGGTGGACACGTACTGTGGCGGTAGCAGGAAACCCCTGCCTTTAGGACAGTTGGGTGCAGGGAAGAGGATGATATCGTCACCCCAAATGCCCATCAAGGGAGGAAGCCCTTCGAGGTGGTAGGAATCCTCTTGAAAGGCAAAGGTCTTGGGAGTGAGTCTGTGTGACCGGTAGCCTCAAGCCTGACAGAAACCCAGCTAATTCTGAGGTGTGTCATGAGGGGACAATCCGGTCAGGGTGCCACACTGCTGTCTCGGGCTGTGGGTGTCTGAGAGCAGGTCCTGAGACCCTCTGAGTTTCTAGCTTTGCCTATCCCAGAAGGAACAGGTGGGAGAGAGGTTCTCTGGTAATGATCTGGGCCATGCCCAGTGAGGTAAAGGGGGCCTTGACTTCAACTGTATTGTCTGGTGTTCGCTGCTAGCCCAAACATGTGCTCGGGACTCCAAGAGATACTGTCCCTTTCTGACACCTCTTTGTGTCTTCCACAGTGAATCTCTTTTTTACTGGGAGGCTCAGCAGCGCAGTCCCTGCCTTAGGTGAGTAAGCCCCTTTCTCCTGCCTGCCTGGGGTTAGGGACCGCTAAGGATGGGCCTTCAGTCTTGCCCGTACCCCATGGCCATCAGGCCTCTAAGAGGTTGAACAAACCTTTCCCTCTGCACCTTTACAACATCACGATGGAGCTGTTGGTGGCAAACGGATTTAAGTTTAGTGAGCCTTGATTTCTTTGCTAAAATAGGTGAATTGCCATACTACCTCAAACCTGGCCTAATGGGTCCATTGAAGCAACGGCCCGGGGTGTTCAGGAAGGGGCCGGGTGCTCTGTGACTTGGTACCACTGCTGGTTTCCACAGCCTTGTGCAGTTGATAGACGTGCCTCTGTGGGCTGTGGCATTCCTGAGAAACACTGGATGCTCATGTGCATCAAATAATGCCTAGGGTTTACTTCTAGAGGTAAGATTCATGTTGCCACTGAGGCCAGTACCATTGAGGAAAAAAAAAATCAGACCTTTAAGACTATTTTGGTAGCACAGGCCTATAATTCCAGCTACTCTAGAGACTGAGGCAGAAGATCGAAGTTAAGACCTGCCTCGGTTACAGAGTAAGTTCAAGGAAAGTCAGGCTAACTTTATGAGACTCTGTCTAAAACATTTTTCTTTTAAAGGGCTGGAGATGTAGCTCAGTAGTAGAGCACTTGCCTAGAATTCACCAATGAGGAGCAGGAGGCGTGGCTCAGTGGTGGAGCTCTGCCTAGCCAGGGGTTCAAGCTGGGGGTTCAAGCCTTGGCCAGGCTGACTCAGGATGAGGGGAACCACAGCTTGCATTGAGGTTTCTAGGAGAAAGGCAAAGCAATCAGGCAAACAGCTTTGACAGATTACAATGGCCTGTTTGAGTCATTGCGGCGGCTAGTTCTCGGGCAGCCTCTGATTGGCTGGTACCTAGCCCTGGGATTCTTCGGGGCAGAACAGCGTATTTATTGGCTTGTGTGTGAGGGTCAGGAGGATGGTGGATAAGAACACAGCCCCAGATCTACAGCTCTGCATGTGAAAGGCTTGTTCCAGGCAACTCGCAGCAGAGAGGTAACACATAAGGTGTGAGGAAGCAGTGAGAAGCCCTGTGCTGGCCTCCTGCCTGTCAGTGCTGCCTGGCCATCTGATGGCCGTCTTTGAGCTCTGAACTGGTGTCAAGAGAGGGAAGAGCAGCCACAAATGTGGCTGTTCCTCTCCTTGGCTGTGGAGAGGCTCCTGCTGTTTGGAGAATAAATAGCTTGGATAGTTGTAAGGCGGGTGACCGAGGGAGCCTGCTCTATCACTAATACAGCTTGGGCCTTGCCATCTCTTGCTTCTTTAGTCAATATGTGGCCATCTTCAGCAAACCCTAAAATGGTGTATAGTACCATGTATAGTGTTGCACGCCTGGGGAGGCTGAGGCAGGAGGATTGCAAGTTCCAGGTCAGTCTGGGCTACATAGAGAGACCCTGCCTCAAATGTAAGCCAGAGCTTCCAAAGGCTAAGTAATAGCAGAAGTACATTGAGACAAGGTGCTTCGGGGTGTGGTCAATAAGGATGTGTGACCCCAAGTCTGGGGACCTAGAACTTGTGTTGTCTCTTGCGCCACACGGTGAAGCAGGAGCTACATGGGGTTTCCGGTTTTCATCTGCCATTGAGCCCACTGAGACTCAAGGTCTAGCTGTAGCTGATCACAAGGGTTATGGGAGGTGGGCAGAGGCATGGTAGAGATATTCACGGAGTCCAGTTTCTCGGCTTGTCTGGAAGACTGGTCTTCTGCCCCCACCCCATCCTCTCTGTACCCCAACTCTGTGTTTTTCTGCAGCTGGGCCTCCTCTGCTGACCCAGGCTGGCCCAGGGTCCTGTCTTAGTCAGCACTGACCAACCCCGCCCCGCCTGATGTACTGACCACAAAGGACGGCCCAGTTTCTCATCCCGATTCCAGGAAAGCAATGGGTCCCGTGTCTGTGGCCAGGGTACAATGCGGGAAGTGGGCTGAGAGAACGCTGATATCTTGCAAGCGTGAACCCCAGACCAGCCCTTCTGCTCCTGGTGGGTGGGTGGGCATTGCTGTCCCAGATGTGTTCCCCAGGTTTGCAGAGCGATGCTCAAGCGACAAGGCTTACTCATCCCCGTGCACTGGAGAGAACGACCCAGGTCCTCATGTTGGCCTTCCTAGCAGACTATGGTCACTCTCCAGCAGGGATGGTCGTTCACCCATTGCTGCCTCTGCATGGTGCTCCTGATGCTGGGAGCTGATTGTGCAGCTTGCATGGCAGTGGCAGGTGGTAGGGTGGGTCCCAGTGTCCCTGGATCCAGCTCTGAGCCCTCTGGCATTGCTGACCAGCTTCTCCCCGGCCTACCTGACCTCTCTCAGCATGGGTCTCATGGTTGTATTTCCAAATACTTTCTCTATGTTCCTACTGTCTCCTAGCCCTTCCTTTCTCAGCCTGCACCAGAGACATTCTGGTCCCTCAGTCCATTCCTTGCTCCTCCTCTGCCAGGTCTTCCCTGGATCAAAAGACCTACCTCATGCATGCCCCGCTCCCCTCTGTCATGCTAGGGCTGGCCTGGATAAGCTTCCACTGTCTTCTACTCAGATATGCACATGGCCATATGCCTGGGGGAGAGAGGAGCCCAGCTCCCTGCTGTCAGGTTACAACATGCAGGTGTCCAAGTTGCCGATAGCCTCTGGAAATCAGATCTACAAGTCTGCATCAGGCCCTGCCGCTGTCCTCTCGGTGGGGGTGTGTGTGTGTGACAATGCTTCAGAACCACAATTCATACCTTTCCTACACAGTCACTGAGAGCTCAGACAGTCTTCTGTAAGGGCGAAGGCTAGTCTCCACTCCAAGCTCAGAGGCCCCTCCCTGACAGCCCAAACACTCCCAGGAATCTCTCCTATACCAGTATCCCATGAACAGTTCGGTTTCTGCTCTGACAGTTACATACCCTGTCAAATCCTCACTTCCTACAAGACATTTCTGTAGACTCCTCTGCTCCATTGGTCTGTCCATCACATGACTGTCTGCCTCAAGACTGTCACTTTCTTTTCTTTCTTTCTCTCTTTTCTTTTTTCTCTCTATGTAGCTTTGGAGCCTGTCCTGGAACTTCTCTGTAGACCAGGCTGGCCTCAAACTCACAGAGATCCGCCTGCCTCTGCCTCCTGAGTGCTGGGATTAAAGGCGTGTGTCACCACCGCCCGGTAACTGTTTCTTCCTTTCTTTCTTTCTTTCTTTCTTTCTTTCTTTCTTTCTTTCTTTCTTTCTTTCTTTCTTTTCTTCCTTCCTTCCTTCTTTCCTTCCTTCCTTTCTTTTTTAAAGGTTTATTTATTTATTATGTATAGTGTTCTGTCTTTATGTATGCTTGCAGGCCAGAAGAGGGCACCAGATCTCATTACAGATGGCTGTGAGCCACCATGTGGTTGCTGGGAATTGAACTCAGGTCCTCTGGAAGAGCAGTCAGTGCTCTTAACCTCTGAGCCATCTCTCCAGCCCTAACTGTAACTTTCTTGATTGTTTCCAACCACAGCAACATGTAATGACTCCTATTTTACAGACAAATAAGATGCATCCTCGCATCCTCACACAAAGATTATGTATGGCCATGGAGGGTTAGGCCTGGGCCCTAACATTGTACATTGGGGTGGAAATGAAGTCCCTGTCTTGGAAAGCTGGGGTTTGGGGTGTATTGACCAAGCTAGACACATTTCCAAGCTTACTGCCAAGTGGTATCTAATCAAGGGTCCTTCGTGGCGCTTCTGGATCCCAGAGCATCCCCATTCTCCCTCTTGATGTGAGACCCAAGTGGTAGCTGTAGAATCATGGTCTGGTACCCATGACACCCTCCAGAGATGAGGAAAGAGTTAACAGCAATGCTCCATGGGGCTTACAGGATAGAGGTTTGTGAAAAGGCTGAGCTGGCTGGCGGTGGTCCAGTCATCTGGACAGACGAGCCACCCACCTAAACCCTGAATAAATGTAGGCACGCAGGGACAAGTGTCCTGGCTGAGGCAGGAAGAGAGCGAGATGTCTACTTAGAACCTTGATGGGGTCTTAGTGGGAGGAAGACATGCCCCAATGTCACTGGGCTCTGCCTGTCAGGAACCACTCACCCTGCATCCCACGAAGGAGAACTCCAGGTCGCATCAGGTAGACACCTAGGTCCCTAAGATTCTTTAGGTAGTAGCTTTATTTGTTCACAGGAGCCAGGCTCAGGCTGGGGTATCTTACAGATTCTCCTGAGTCCCTGTTCCTTTAGCTTTGGCTCCTGGGCTGGGAGTCGAGTGCACCAGCTGTTTCCTTGGTGAAGCACCTGAAATTGGGGAGGCTGCATCCTAGGGCCACATGCGAGCATCAGGAAGAGAGGAACTGGCACATACCTCAGTGAGCTGGGACCTTTGATGCTATATAGGACGAAGCTCTGAGGAGGGCCACTCTCACACTAGGCCCAAAGGTGGCCTTCCATCCCTTCCCTTTTCTTTCTGTCTCTTTCTCCTTCCAATCCCCCCCCCAATTCCTTTTCTTTACTTCTTTCCTTCTTTCCTTCTTTCCTTCTTTCCTTCCTTCCTTCCTTCCTTCTTTTCTCTCTATCCTTTCCTTCTTTCTTTCTTTACTTCCACCGGGTCTCATGTAGCCCATGCCAGCCTAGAACTCACTATGTAGTCCAGGCTGGCCTCAAACTCCATCTCCTGTGTGCTAGTATTACAGTTGTATGCTACCATGCCTTGTTCAAAGATGGCATTTCTGACTCAGCTCTTATGAGTGGATTGGATAACCAAGACCCCAGAGGTCCTGGCTGGCAGAGTGGGTGTGATCCCTTAGAAGGCACTAGACTGGCCGTGCGGGACACCCACTGTATGTCAGACATTGTTGGCCCCTGGGTACCAGGCCAGAGTGTCCCAGCCTGCCCTCCTAAGGTGAGTTAACGTCAAACAAATTATGTAGCAATAGGTAAGTCATTATGGTGACAGAAGCCAAGAAGGAAAGGAGGGGCAAAGGATAGGGGCTGGCTCCCCTGGGGGTGACATGGTAAGGGCTTCTCTACAAAGGGCCCCACAGAGCTGAAGCTGAGGGAAGTGAAGAGTTAGTGGGGTAGGAGAGTGGGGAACAGCCTTCCTTTCCATGGGAGGGGGGCTCTTGGGGGCAAGGGAAGCAAGGAGGCAGGAGGAAGTTTGGTAGACAGGCGACTGTGTCATCTCCCTGAGAGACTGGGATGCATAGATTGGAGTAGGGTCCTCCTGCAGCAGCCGCCCAGCCCAAAGCCACAGCTGGAGAGAGTCCAGCTTCAGAGGCACCGTCACAGGTGCCTGCCGTGGGAGGATGAGAACGTAGACTCAGAGAAAAGGTTTACTGTTTTGTTTCCTGAGCCTTGCTCTTCCATCTGTAAAGTATGCCTAGCCTTTGTGGCAGGTTGGATTAGATAAATGTTTGGGGGTCGTGGCAGGTTTGTAGCCACGTGTCAGGGTTCCCTGCCTGGCCCTGAGAGAGCCCAGGCAGCAGGGCAGGTGTGGTGTCTCTCACTCATGCTGGCTAATGATCGCTTTATTTTCATTCCTCATGTGACATACAGTTGGTGCTCCATAAATGCTTGTGAACTCGGGACCTGTGGTGAGAGGCTGAGCCCACCAGAGGCCGGGTGAATCCTGACTCTGCTACTACTAGCTGACTGTGTGCCCCGGGAGTCATATGCCTTCTCTGAGCCTCAGTTTCTTTATCTGGTTAGAATATCTACCTCCAGTGTCTTTTCACATATATTGAGATAAAATCCCAAATTTTAAATTAAAAAAAATTCATGTTTACATATGTGTATAATGTGTGTGTTGGAGGACATGTTGTACACACATGTGCAGGAAGCTAGAAGAGGGCATTGGATCCCCTTGAGCTGGAGTTACAGGTAGCTGGGAGTTGCCCACTGTGGGTACTGGGAGCAAAACGTTGGTCCTACACAAGAACAGCAAGTGCTTTTAAACACTGAGCCATCTCTCCAGCCTCTAAACCCCAGTTTCGTACAAAATGTATTGAGACCCAGACTACACTGTCAGCCAGGTCTGGACATTGCCATCTCCCTTCTTGTCACCAGGATTCTGTATACATTTTGTGTGTTTTCACCTTCAACCTCTGAGATTCATAGGAAGGTTTTCAGATTTGCTTATTCAGCATGCCTTTTACTTTTGCTTGGTGCATAATAAGTGTCCAGTAAATATGTTTCAGAGGGCAAAGCCCTTCTTTTCCTGGTCTGTGTTTTTCTTTTTCTTTTTTTTTTCTTTTTTTGGTTTTTCGAGACAGGGTTTCTCTGTTGTTTTGGAGCCTGTCCTGGAACTAGCTCTGTAGACCAGGCTGGTCTCGAACTCACAGAGATCCACCCGCCTCTGCCTCCCAAGTGCTGGGATTAAAGGCGTGCACCACCTTCGCCGGGCCCTGTGTTTTTCTTTAATATTTATCTATTTAATTTTATATGCATATGTGTGTTCCTGAGCATATGTTTGTACACCGTGTGCATGCAGGAGCCTATGGAGATCAGAACAGGACATTGAATCCCCTGGCACTGGAGTTATAGATGGTTCTGAGCAGTCATGTGGGTGCTAAGAATTGAACCTGGGTCCTCTGCAAGAGCAGAAAGTGTTCTTAACTGCCTACCCCTCCTCCAGCTCCCCTGGGGCTGTGTTCCACACGGGTATTCAGGGACTCTAGTGTGTAGACCTACATGCAGAGGGACCACTTGTAAGACCTCCACTAAGCTGAGGTCTTGAGGCCTCACAATGCATGCCTTGGATGCCAAGGGGAATTAAAAATGTCTTGCTCTTAGCACTACTAAGATGGGGGAAGAACTGAACACACAGGATCAAGACTCCAGTATACTGCAAGGATGGGGCTGTACTGCCTCAAGTCTGGAGGGTCCCTCCTTGAACTCCACCCACTCATGACTTCCATGAAGACTTGAACTGTGGACTTGCTGGCCTTAGTGGAAGCTCATGTTCAAGCCATGATCAGGGACACCCCACAAAACCTGCTTTCCACCCCAAAGGTGAGAGGACATTCCTCGGCCTTCTCTCCCAACAGCCGCCTGCAGTGGGAAGCTGGAACAGCACACTGAACGGCGAGGGGTCATCTACAGCCCAGCCTGGCCCCTCAACTACCCACCGGGCACCAACTGCAGCTGGTACATTCAGGGTGACCGTGGTGACATGATCACCATCAGGTAAGGAGAGCTTCTGTGTGTGGAGGGCACATGAGTGTGGACAGGCGTGATGTACACAAGCCCAGGTCTTAGCAGGCATGGTGTGTGTGTGTGTGTGTGTGTGTGTGTGTGTGTGTGTGTGACAGCACGTGTATGTTTAGGTGTATAGACACATTTAGAAACAGGTATCTGAGAGACCTGCGTGGCCACAGTTGTGAGCTGTAAGCATGTGCGAGCATGTGAGTGTATGAGCATTTAATTGACCACATCAGAGCTGGGTGCTCTGAGCTTGGTCACTTTCTGTTCTGAGTCTTTTCTTTTTAGTCCCCAAAAGTGAGCCTTAGGAGCTGGTAGGGGGTCGGGGCTGGCTGCTTAAGATGGCAAAGGTGTCTGTTTCTGCCCTGAGGAGTGACCTGAGGCCAGGCTGGCATGGAACCCAGGTCAGGGTTTCTGCAGGGACCTCAGGTGGTCCCTCAGGGAAGGGAGCTGTGGGTAGAGCAGAGGAAGACAGGAGAAGGTTCTAGAGAGTGTCACAGAAGAGCTAGAAACCCGGACCTAGGGTGATCATGGGGACATTTGGCTGGGGCGGTCCCCATGTCTTCTGCCTGCCATACTTGTAAAATCCAGAAGCCGGCCCACTGTCCAGCCCTAATTACTCCATAGATCTGAAGGACAGGAATGGGATGGGCAGGAGCAGAGGCTCTTCTGGTTTCTGAGCCCAGTCTACTGGGCAGCTTGTAGTTGGTCACCCAGTGGTAGCATAGGCAGAGCCCCACCGTCAGTGTGCAGCCCTGGGAGTTTGTGCTGTTCAGTTGACTTAGGATGAGAGGGCTCTGAGCCCTTGGTCACCACCCTGTAGGGGAAAGTGTCAGAGCTGCCGACACTTCACACCCAGTTTTGTCCTGGGGATGCTGTATGTGTGCTCGTGGGGCAGAGAGCTTGAAGGGAGCTGGACTGATGGGTGCAGCCCATGAATGTCGTGAGTCCTCACGGAGCTGCCTTTGGACCCTGGAGCGGGGGCAGAGTAGACCCCGAGGGGCCCAGAGTGCAGAGCCAGGCAATTTGGGATATACAAGGAGAGCCACTGGGTGGGACAGAGTTAGCTAGCTGCCTTTGCCATGAGTTCAGCTTGACCACTGCTGGTCAGTCCTGGGCCAGGAGGCCCCTGTCGACCTACCCATCCCACTGATTCTCTCGGCCCCCACAGTTTCCGCAACTTTGATGTGGAGGAATCTCACCAATGCTCCCTGGACTGGCTGCTGCTGGGCCCGGCAGCTCCACCTCGCCAGGAGGCATTTCGCCTCTGTGGCTCAGCCATCCCGCCCGCCTTCATCTCTGCCCGTGACCATGTCTGGATCTTCTTCCACTCAGACGCCTCCAGCTCCGGCCAGGCCCAGGGCTTCCGCCTCTCCTATATCCGAGGTGATGCAACAAGCTTTTCCACTGGCCGCCGTTTTCTGCAGAGGCTCCCCTTACCTGCCCTGCTAATCCCAGGCTGGGAGTGGGACTGAAGTCTGGGGGTGCTTCTGTGTCTCTTTGGGTAATCAGCTCCACTTTGCTGGACATGAACCCCAGCCTAAGCCCAGCCCTGATACTGAATCTAGCCTTCCATCAATGAGTCTGCCCCATAGGTGGCCCTACTTCTTGGTACAGAGGCTCAGTTGGGACTGAAGCCATTTGCCTGCTCCCAGCCTCCGGCCTGGTGCTGGAAGGAGGCGGCTCATCCTGTCACCTCTTTGCCTCCAGGGAAACTGGGCCAGACATCCTGCCAGACAGACGAGTTCCGCTGTGACAATGGCAAGTGCCTGCCTGGGCCTTGGCAGTGCAACATGGTGGATGAGTGTGGAGATGGCTCGGACGAGGGTAACTGCTCGGCGCCTGCCTCAGAGCCACCAGGCAGCTTGTGCCCCGGGGGGACCTTCCCGTGCAGCGGAGCCCGCTCCACACGCTGCCTTCCGGTGGAGAGGCGCTGTGACGGCACACAGGACTGTGGCGATGGCTCCGATGAGGCTGGCTGCCCCGACCTAGCATGTGGCCGGCGGCTGGGCAGCTTCTATGGTTCCTTCGCCTCCCCAGACCTGTTTGGTGCTGCCCGTGGGCCTTCGGACCTTCACTGCACGTGGCTGGTGGACACCCAGGACCCTCGGCGCGTGCTGCTGCAGCTGGAGCTACGGCTAGGCTACGATGACTACGTCCAAGTGTATGAAGGCCTGGGCGAGCGTGGCGACCGTCTGCTGCAAACGTTGTCCTACCGCAGCAACCACCGGCCCGTGAGCCTCGAGGCGGCACAGGGCCGCCTCACGGTGGCCTACCATGCTCGTGCCCGCAGTGCTGGTCATGGCTTTAATGCCACATACCAGGTGAAGGGCTACTGCCTTCCGTGGGAGCAGCCGTGTGGGGGCAGCAGTGAGGGAGATGACAGCAGCTCCGGGGAGCAGGGCTGCTTCTCAGAGCCACAGCGCTGCGATGGCTGGTGGCACTGTGCCAGTGGCCGGGATGAACAGGGCTGCCCGGCATGCCCTCCGGACCAGTATCCCTGCGAGGGTGGCAGCGGCCTGTGCTATGCCCCCGCCGATCGTTGCAACAACCAGAAAAGCTGCCCCGATGGCGCCGATGAGAAGAACTGCTTTTCCTGCCAGCCGGGCACCTTCCACTGTGGTACCAACCTGTGTATCTTTGAGACGTGGCGCTGTGATGGCCAGGAGGACTGCCAAGATGGCAGCGATGAGCATGGCTGCCTGGCCGCTGTGCCCCGCAAGGTCATCACCGCTGCTCTCATTGGCAGCCTGGTGTGTGGACTGCTGCTTGTCATCGCCCTAGGCTGTGCCTTCAAACTCTACTCCCTGCGCACGCAGGAGTACAGGTGGGCACCACGTGTACAGGTGGCCTGGAGCCCCAGTTCCTCCATCTCCCTGGAGAAAAAGCTCACCTCATTCCAAGCTATGGGTTTGGGTCATTACAATACAGGAGGACTGTTCTTGTATGTGCATGCAGGGGCCCAGATGGAAGGGTGGGGTCCCTAGATCCTGCTGTTAAGGCAGGTCTCTATCATACTTCCCTTCTGCCCGTTGTTTCCAGGGCCTTTGAGACCCAAATGACCCGGTTAGAGGCAGAGTTTGTGCGGCGGGAGGCCCCCCCATCCTACGGCCAGCTCATCGCTCAGGGCCTCATCCCACCCGTCGAGGATTTTCCTGTCTACAGTGCATCCCAGGTGAGCCTCCATGAGAATGAGATCCCCAGGAGGACCTGAGAGGTCCCAAGACCAGGAGGCCTAGGGGCCAGCTAGGGCTAGAACATCTGGAGGGGGGAAGGTGGAGGAAGCTCAGATTAGTCTCTGGTCTGGAAGGGGGTTGTTCCTGAATGGCCTGGCCCTACCTTAGCTGCTGCCCCACCCCCAGGCTTCAGTGCTACAGAACCTTCGCACAGCCATGCGTCGACAGATGCGCCGGCATGCCTCCCGCAGGGGGCCATCCCGCCGCAGGCTCGGCCGCCTCTGGAACAGGCTCTTCCACCGCCCACGGGCACCTCGAGGCCAGATCCCACTGCTGACGGCTGCACGGACCTCACAGACCGTGCTGGGTGATGGGCTCCTCCAGGCGGCACCAGGGACTGCCCCAGATCCCCCAGCGCCCCATACAGACACAGGCAGCCCCAGGGAAGCTGGAGGTGGGCCTCCCAGTGGCCCTGGCCATGTACCAGAAGTGGGGCCTTCAGTGCCACCCCCACCCTTGAACCCGCGAGACCCAGAGTACAGGCCAGAGGACAAGGAGAGAAAAGCCTGTGAGGACCCTCCGGAAGACAGCCCAGCCCCTGTGGACACGCCTCCAGAGCCCTGCTTGGCCCAAGACCCCTACCCCCAGAATCCCACTGCCAGCAGCACCCAAGATCCCCACTCGCCAGAGTCATCGGGGGTCTGCAGGAGCCCCCTGCCAACCTGCTCCCCAATATTGGAGGCTAGTGACGACGAGGCCCTGCTGGTCTGCTGACCCATTGGACATGCTGGTGACTGCCACAGCCCCGCTTTGTAACCAGGGAATACACAGTCATTTCTACCCTGCCTCTGCATTTCTTCTTACAAACAGAGACCCACCTAGCAGCCCTGGTGGAAGGCCTGGGCGCCCAGCCAGTGGGCTACCTCTGCAAGCCTATGGCCCTGATGGGTATCGCTGGCAGGGGCTTAGGGGCCCATTAGTTGGCCTGGGAAGGAGGGTGGAGTGGTAAGACCACCTTGGAGGTGGGCAAGAGCACAGCCCCTTGGAGTTGCACGTCAGATTGTTCCCTGCAACTCTAACCTGGGGATTCATTTCCAGAAAAGCAGGGGAGCCAGAGCCAGGCTTTCTGCAATGTTTTCTGTGGCTTCTCAGTTCATTCAGCCGGCAGTGGCACCGGCTGCCCATCCCAGAACTCTGCCGGGAGCTGTAGTTGAGGCCTGAGGAGGTCATGGGGGGTGTTGGACCTCATTCATGGTGAGTGCTCTATCCACCCTTCCCCACAGGGCCCTTGGGGGAGACGGGCTAGTGGCTTCTGCCCCATCCTCATGCCTGTGGTGGCAGCATAGGCCTGGCTAGGCCGGGGCACTCTGCCCACTGGCTGCTGGGTCAGTCCCTATGCATAATGGTGAGGCTGGAAATATGGGCGAGGACGACCACGAGAGAAGCCATTCTGTGCTTTCTCAGGATACGAAGTCAAAGCACTGAGCGACAATGATAACGTCCATCCCGTCCTGCCTCAGAGCCTCAGTTTCCCCACCTGAAGCCAGGGCGATGCTGTGCTATCAGAAGTGGCACCCATTCGCTCTGGTGATTTATGGGAAAAGGGCAGTCACAGCTGGGGACATCTGGGTTCTCCTGGAGGGTCATAGATGGAGTCCTATGGGCCCCATGGAGTCAGCCTCAGGTTCCAACAGCAAAACCCATCAGAAACCCTCCTCCATAGCACCATCCCAGCTAGCAACTGATACGCCATGCCGAGTCCCCATGGACTCCCCTCGCACACAGCAACAACCAGCCCTGTTTATTTCCAGGCTTTTCAGGAGAAGCTAGCAGGGCAGTGCTAAGGCAGGAAGCCTGACCCCAGTGGCCGGTCCCTTACAGTAGGCCTCTAAGGGTCGGTTCTCTTTTTTTTTTCCAGAATTTTTTTTTGAAAATAAAACAAAACACAAAACCCTCCTTAATAAACAACATGTAAACAGAATCAGCTGTTTCAGTCTCTGCACGGTCTCATTGTGTCTTCAAGGGCTTGTCCGTGATGGGCATTGGAGAGGGCTGGCCCATGGGGCCATTTTCCTCTTCCTCCAGGGAGCCCTGGGGGTAAACCACGAAACACAGCTCCTGGCCCCAGCGTGTCATGGACTCTAAGAATAGACAGATAGATCGTGGGAGGCAGAGTGTTGATCCTTTGAGGCAGGGATGACCCTAACTCTTTTTTTTTTTTTTTTTTTTTGGTTTTTCGAGACAGGGTTTCTCTGTTGTTTTGGAGCCTGTCCTGGAACTAGCTCTTGTAGACCAGGCTGGTCTCAAACTCACAGAGATCCACCTGCCTCTGCCTCCCGAGTGGTGGGATTAAAGGCGTGCGCCACCACCGCCCGGCTAAAATGACCCTAACTCTTGATACCTCCTTGGGCAAAGAGTTGCTTCTTTGCAGATGGATCCTGGCCACATCTACACGTAGCAGGGAGTTTAGGGGGAAGTCACTGGGTCCTTTGTCACCAGCCTGGCTGGTAGAGGCCCCTGTTCTTGGGTGGGATCAAAGAGATGCTCACCCTAATCCCCAAGAGGCATGGTGGCAAAACCTGACTCACCTGTCAGTCTGTGCACACACTTTGGTTTGCTTCTCCAGAATACTCCCAGGAAGAAGATGGGGACCCCAGTGAGGATGATGATGACTCCGACCCCACAGACCATGGGCTCCGAGATGAAGCTGAAGACCAGTAGGAATGCCCAGAACACCAAGTACGCAACAGGAATGAGGAGGTTCACCTAACAGAGAAAGGAAGGACAGGAGCACCGGGGGAGGGGCATCACCCTAGCTCTCCTTCCTGAACCACAATGGGGATCAGAGGCACTTCCTCCATCTCTTGAAAACTAGGGCCTGCAATGGCCCCCTCTGGTTGCAGCCCAGTGCCCTGGAGAGCCATCCCTGGGTTGACCAGTTGGCTGAACTGCTGAGGCTGTCTACTTGAGCAGTGTGCTGAGCTATCCATTGCCGTTATCCGCAGAATGCTGTTTGCATTTGGCTGCAGCTCAACTGTTTTTTCGGTGCTTCCTATTTCAGGCAGTCTTCGGGATTTATATACGGGGGGGGGGGCTTTTCTGTCACTCTTTCATGTGAGAGCATGAGAATGCCAGGCCCTGTCATTGGCAGCCCATGTGACTTTTGTCTCTGTCCCTGTCTGTGGACTGGGAATATTAAAAGCACATGCTTCCTGGGGTTGTGAGGAGAGACTGTTAGTGCATGAAAAGCCCTGCGCTCTGCAAATGCTGTGGCCCTCCTGGGCATGGTCACCCACACCTGCCTCGGGTGCTCAACTGAGATGAAGGCGGCCCTGGTTACTTCCAGCCTCACCTTGATGGGCCTGTGGAGTGCTGGCCGCCTCCAGCGCAGCACGAGCAGGCCCAGGATAGTGACTCCGTAGCAGAGGTAGTTGATGAAGGACACATAGTTGATGAGTGTGTATGTGTCACCCACGAGCATGATGACCGCTGTGGCCCCGCACTGGGAGAGGACCGAGGGCTGACGGCTGGCCTCTCACCTGCTTCTGGCCATCCCTGCGGGCTGCTCTGGGCCTTCCCACTCAGGTCAGGAGGTCAGGTGAGTTCCCAGCCCTTTCCCACCCTCCACGGCTTATCTACCATAGGCAGGGAATGAGTTTTTGCCATTATCTTAAAAAGAAAGCCATTACTAGGTGTTTCTGGCTATGTGCACTGGATGGTCAGGTTCTCAGACTTACACAGACGAGGAGGGCAGGGATTGGGGTACAGCGTCTGACATGGATCATGGCCAGCAAGCTGGGTAAGTGTCCCTCTCGGGCTCCAGAGAAGCATAGCCTAGGCACAGGAAGGGCGATGGATGAGCCAGAGCAGGTGTTGGAGCTTCTCTGTGGCTAGCTAGGACCCAGCTGTCACCATTGCCCTCGGCCCTCCAGGCCCTGCCAGCTCTCCTCATGTAGTCTGCCTCCTGGGCTTCTTACCCTCAAGATTGGGATCAGACATTTGTTACTGGAGAATTCATTGCCTCCGCTTTCCCTTCCCATGGCCCCTAGCGCAGCCTGCACACGGGAAGTCACCCGCCCGGTCTTACCTATACCACCCTCTTCCCCTGTCCTCAGTCTAGTCACCTGGATGAGGTGAACAGGTAGCCATTGATCCCTCCAAAAGTCGATAGTGCCACAGAGACAGGCATGACCCATGCGAAGTAGCCCAACAGCTTCTCGCCAAAGGTCTGCGTGGGCACAGAAGAGAGGCCAAGTATGAGGCTGGGGATGGGATGCGGGCAGGGGCTGAAGAGAGGGCCGAGGTCCCCACTCACCACAGCCACTGCGTTGGAAGACAGCAACTCCTGGGGGGACATGGCGGTGAAGTAGGCAACGTTGGTGAATGTGTACACGAAGGTGACCAAGGGGATGGAAATGAAGATGGCACGAGGTAGGTTTCTGGGGACAGAGATCGGAGTGTCAACTGGGGACACGATAATGGGAGAGTCTTAGAGTCTCCTGTGCGCCCAGGTGGGGGCGGCTTCAGGCAGGAAAGAGACCCGCACCGCTACTGGGGACAGGGACATATGGTTGTCTGCCTTTTACCCAGCCCCTGTCTGAGTACAAGCTAACAGAAGGAGGGAACACACGATGAGGCCGCTGGGATGAGGACACGTCATCCCCTGAGGCCAGGATCTAATTAATGTCTGGATAGAAGGGAAAAATTGCATGTAGCCAAAGTCAGCCTAGAAAATCTCCCAGATGCCTTCAGAGCTCAGCCGTCAAGTCTGAGATCTCCCTGGGGATTCTCCACCCAACCCTGCCCCCCTTAGCTGCCACTGTCCTTGCCAGGGTTCCCGACTGAGCATCAGATGGAGTGCCATGGGGCTCTATCCTTCAGGACCATGTTGTGTGCATATGGACAATGTTGGACCAAATGTAAATCACTCAACACAGCAGCGTAACGATATTCAAGTCTTTCCGAGGCCCTACAAGGGGTCCTGCTGCAGCTGCAGACACAGACAGGGAAGAACACGGCTTCGGGGCTCTCCTTCAAGCCTGCTGTCATGGCAGCAAGTGTGACAGCAGATCTGTGGGGACAGCTGCTTCTCCTCCCAGTGCCTGCCCAGGCAGCTTCACTCACTTGCGAGGGTCAACCAGCTCCTCGGTGACATAGTTGAGGAAGTTCCAGCCACTGAAGGCAAAGGAGCCTTGCAGGAAAGCCAGGGCAAGGTGGCCCACAGATGGTGTCATCCAGAAGGTGAAGGCGTTGGTGGGCCTCAGCTCTTCGAAGTGTCCTGGGGAGCCCAGATGTCAGGGATTAGCACAGTGCGCCCCCCTTCTCTCCAACGCTCACACCCTGCTTCTTACCTCGGAAGAACTGGACAAAGCCAACACCAATGATGAGCGCCAGGGCCAGCAGCTTCCCGCCAGTGAAGATATCCTGGATGCGCGTGGCCCAGCGAACACTGGAGCTGTTCACCCACGTCAGGAGCACTGGGGAAGAAAAAGGCGTGGGCACCTGAAGCCAAATCTAGGCCAGACAACAAGGGCAGAGTCTTCAGCAGCCTTGAGATAAGTGTTACAGGTGATAGCAGCCAGGGGCTCCCACTCAGCTTTCCTCCCGTCAGAGTGGACAGAGAGCATCACGAGGTGGGGAGGGGGCAGCCAGCTGCTGAGAGGACAGAGGCTCAAGACCACTCACTCAGGCAGGCCATGGAGAGCACTCGGGAGGCCGTGGCTGGGGGGATGCAGTTGGGGAAGACGGGCTGAAGCACGTAGTTGGAGAAGGTCATGGAGATGACAGCCAGGCTGGTGGGGTACATGATGAGGACAGCACTCCAGAGCAGCAGGAATCTGTAAGAGGTGAGAGCCAGCACTGCACAGGCATGCTCAGTCCCCTACCCATGCTGGCCTGGCTCAGACGGGAGGGTCTGGGATAGATGAGCCCCCAGCCCCACCCCCAGAGCGGGAGGACTGCGGAGGCTGGGGAGGTAAGAATCGGAACAACTGGAAACTGATCCCAGGCTGCCCCCCTGAGTCCAGGCAGGCGAATCCCGGCCCTTAAGCTATAGCATTGTCTGGGGCTCTTGACACTTTATGACTTGAGATGGTTGATGCTGAGCGGTGCTCCTGCCTTGATTTCGGAAGAAGAGTGATTTATGTTCCTGATACCAGAACCTCACCTATGTGTTACCCCATGGGGAACCGGGACTCTCCGCTTAGGTATATGTTCAAGGACTGCCTTCATCCAGACAGGTGCTGCTGCTCACACCCTTGGGGATGGCTTTAGCCAGCTCCTGGCTCGCCACTGAGGCTCCTTGGGACAGGCCTCTATTTATTTGTTTGTTTGTTTGTTATGTATACAATATTCTGTCTGTGTGTATGCCCAAAGGCCAGAAGAGGGCACCAGACTCCATTACAGATAGTTGTGAGCCACCATGTGGTTGCTGGGAATTGAACTCAGGACCTTTGGAAGAACAGGCAATGCTCTTAACCTCTGAGCCATTTCTCCAGCCTGGGACAGGGCTCTTAATGTTTATCTTTGATCCACCCTTTTTGGATAACCCAACCCCTTGGCTTCCGAGACATTATGGACCAATATCCCACCCCTTCTGCTGCTCATCCTTGCATTCTGGTTACCCATGAAGTGGAGTCCAGGGTCATTTTTCCGTCACCTTCTCCCTGACTATTATCTCCAGGCCCACAGTAAGAGACTTCTACTTTTGTGGATCCCAGACTTTCTACCCAAGGCCCGACTAAGCACCTCCTTCAATGTGCCACAGACCTTCACGATGGTGCAAGTCTTGCCCCAAGAGCTTCCATCTACTGAGACCATCATCTATGGGGCCTTTAAAGTGGGAAGTGAATGTCACTCTTGCTGTACATACCCGACCCTCATGACACACTAGCTACTGTGTCCTCCTGGGTTAGTTTGTTAAATGACTAAGACAGGTTGGGATCTTAAGCATCTTCATTGAACGCATCTGGACAACTACAG